GTGTGTGTGTGTGTGTGTGTGTGTGTGTGTGTGTGTGTGTGTGTGTGACTGTTATCACTCACCCACTTACAATGCTTCAGCAGCTCTGCATGTCCAGCAGAGTAAAGCCAAAGCACCATAACCATGCTTTTGGTGCCATTTTTTCATGTGGTCCCTATCCCCTCCCCAGCCTCACTTTCAGACACTGAATACGTGAGCCAGACGTCGCCCCTCACTGTCCTCCCAAATGCATCAGGATGTGGCATGTGCCTGGCTTTGTCTGAACTGTCCTCCCCCTGCTGAGGACAGAGTTCTCTCTGCCCAGTCTCTCCCTACTGGCCTGGTCTAAATCTGCTTATCCTGTGGGCTCCTGGGGACTAAGGTCCTTCACCATCAGGTTAACCCACATGCTCTTCCCTTGCCCCTCCTGCTAGGCCCAAGCACCTTTTCTGGGCTCCCCAAGTTTCCTGCTGTATGGCAGCCTTCTTCACTCTGAGTTGAATCATTGCTTGTCTTGCCTGCTCCCCAACTCGCCACAAATGCCTTAAAGGCAGAGCTTGTGCCTCCTTGTGTCTTTGACCCTAATCTGACTTGGCCATGACCTCCTTAGGTGGCCCTGTGCAAGTCACTTACCTCCCTGGGCACCAGCATCCTCTCCTGCCTATAAAGTGGCCTTGGCAGCCCTCAAGGTCTACCCTGCCCAGATACTCTGTGACTTTGTCAGCTGGCTCTTTTAACTGCATACGTGGAATCAACATGTGAGTGTGTGTCAAGCCTGGCAGAGGCCCTGAGTTGGTACCCTCTGCCCTCAGGAGTACAGCACAGCAGCCCACACATCTAGGAACCACAGGGCCTCTTCTGCTTGTAAGACAGTCCTTTCTACTTCTTTCCTCCTCCTACCCAGGAATCTTTCCTATCAAGACCAATTTCTGGAAGTTTCTTCCTACTACACCTAAAAGGAGCAAGAGAACTAAAAGGGGTTCCAGAAAGCTATTGCTAATGGTACCAGCACTAAGCCAGTCTTGCACTGCTTTGAGACAAAGCACTGGCTGTTATTCTAATATATTCCCCAATCTAGGAAGGCCTCCCCATTCCCAGACTTCGGGGTCCAATCCAAGGCACAGAGAACCTCAGGCCCATCTCCTCCCCCTCCTACCTCCTACTGCACTTGCTGCCTGCACCTCATATTTGGTCTCATGGTTGGGTTGTACTATGGGTATTCTGCTTTGGAGCCATGTGTCTTCTCTGCCCCACTAGACTGCAAGCTCCACGAGGGATAGGATGGCAGTGGCTAATCTGAAGATGACCTGTCACTGTAGGCTGCTGTCGTTTCAATAAGCAATGGGCAATGAGATGCCCGACTATACTTACCAGGCTGGATGCAGTGACTTCACTGCAAGAAACTCCCTTAGGGCTAATCAGGAAGTGATCCTGCTCCTTGCTGACTCTCAGCTGGAGGGAAGACACATGTTCTCAGTGGCAAGGAGACAGAAGGGTTATTTCCAAGAACACTCTGCTTGAATCCCCACTTCCCCTGAATCCACTGCACCTAAAACTCACACCCAAAAAACCCTTATCTCCCCCGCAGCACACGAAAGATGAAGAGGACCTGGCCTTTATTGGAACTGGGGCAATGGACGTACAAGAGGAATCTCTCAATGATCAAGGGTAGCCCTAGAAATAGGATCCAGGAGTTCTTAGCTCCTTATGCAGGGAAGTGGCCACAGGGAAGGTTGTCTATTTCAGGTGACCACAGTGGTTAGAAATGTTAGAAGGGCTCAGTGCATGGCCATGCTGACAGGCAGGAGCTCTCTCTTGGGATTTTGTCAGGGCCACATGCAGTACCCACCCCACTCCAAGATGCTCTGCTCACCGTGACATAGGTGTCGCTCAGCTGGGCCCAGCCATAGAGGTCTAGGAGACGGTACACGCTGCTGATCTTGCACCGCATGAGCCGCTCCCCCTTGGCCAGGTTCAAGGGGTCAGCTGTGTGGAGGTCATTGATGGGCGTCATCATGGAGAAGTCTGCAGGGAAACAGGGTGGGGACAGGGCAGCTCTCAGGGTCGGGGCTGCTGTCTGCCCCCCTTCCTTCCTCGCCCTAGTCCTCTCTAAATTCTCACTGACACTACAACTGCACAAGAGACTTCCACAGGCAGGGAATTAAATATTCTTTGGCCCTCATCCAGGGGGAGAAAATCCATAGAATGGATAGTTGTGCCCAAGAAAGTCTTCTGCTTATTCAGATAAAAATGGCATTGCTTTTGGTCAAAAATCATGGCAAGATTCAAACCACAAAATGAAGGGTTTTTGGGATGTCAAGCTCAAAATAAATCCTTAAGATGGACATTGAATAAAAGCAAGAATAAGTTTCTGAGTGGAAATATAGGTATATTTCATCAGTTAGTTTTGGAAGAAGATACTAATCATTAGACCTGCTATTGTTTATTGTTTTAAACTATACCATGTAATATAAATTTTCCTCTGCTTTGGAAACAGAGCAAATCAGGAAGTCAAGTCAGCCAGGAAGTAAATTCCTCAACTTCTTCTGACAAGTCATAAACTTCCAGAAGTCAGTGTGGTTAGCTGAAGGGCTTCAGGCTTCAGGCAGGCCATATCTGCTCCCCTCTGGATGTGCAGTCCCTTGGTTAGTTATGATTCTTTCAGGGAATTTGGGGAGATATGGAAGGGATCTGGAAATGGGCCTAGAGGGCTTGATGGTCTTATCTTCAGGGCACGTAAGGGGTCTAGGAAGTGGTGTCCAGTCTATCCCATTAAAAATGGTGACCGCTCCCTGTGTGCCTCCAGAAGGCATAAGAGGGCATCTGAGCCCCAGCACTTCCAATTAGTCAGAGTCTAGAAACCAATAAAAGAATCAATAGGAAAGCGTTCTGGCTTAAAATGATGTCTGGCTGGGAGCCTCCTGATGCTGCCTCTCCCAGCATCCCACTAAAAACTTTAATGGATTAAATGCCTTTTAGAAGCTTCCACCATCTCAATAAACTCGCTATTACACACTGTGATATCTGTCCTGCATCAGGTTTGCCATTAGCTGAAATGATGAGATGGTCTACAAAGGTGAAGGTGGACCTACAAAGGTGCTGTTGGGCCTACATAAAGCAAGCAGAGCAAACCTCGAAACACCCATGTCAGGAATATAAACCCAAAAAGCTTGTGCCCACCAGAGGAGGGATACCTCCAGGGCATGTGCCCAGGAACTGTAGTTGACAGAGAAAGAAGTGGTCCAAAGGCTCAGTGGAACTGGCAGAAAGAACAACGACGAAATTCCAAAGTCCGCAATTTCTCATTGGAATTGACCATTCTGGTATCCCTTCCTCCTCTCTGTTCATTCCCCAGACAAGTAATTACCTCTTTACTTCATCCCTAGCAGCAAGAAGGAAGGCATATCAAGAGCATAAGCCTGCCAGACAAAGCTGGGCAGGGGGAGATAATGGGAGAGGGTCTTCAGACCGAGATTTCTTTAATTTCTTCTCTTACAAATAACTAGGGAATCCCAGGGATGGCAAGGAGGCCAGAATAGGTCTAAAAACATGCCATCCCATCTTCTGTGTCCTGTATCAGTGTCCCCCTCCCCCACTCTGTGGAGCTTTGCTGAAAGGATTACCCCACCTGCAGACCCAGAGTGGGAGAAGAGATCAGAAGGCTCCACGAGCACCCCAGAGCCTCTGCTCTCAGGGTTTTAAGAGAAAGAATGCTTATAAGTTAAGATGACTGAACGCCAAGTTTATGACTCAGATCTAACCAAGCCATTTACTCAAGGGACCTAAGAAAACACAGAAAAAGATGAAAACTCCCCAACCGCCCCCAGGAAAGCTAAGACTGAAGGACACATGATTGCAAAAAAAAGAAACCAAAATAAAAATACAAAACAACCACAAAATTCTAAGGCAAATGGAGCTGGACAAAGAACAACCTATCTGCTCTTGAACTCATGACTCTTGGAACTTCCCCTCTCCACATTCCCTGACTCAGATACCCTGGACATGCCCGAATCAGATTTTCAGACATCCAACTGTCTTCCTGACAGATGCTGGTTGGTGAGGCAGTGGGAATGCTGGTCAGCTCTATTTCTCTTTCAAAAGAAAAAGTATAAGAACGGAGACATGAAAACGATGAGAAAGAATAGGATAGCTAATGGAGACAAAGACCAGAGAGCTGGCATATAAATAATCAGCACTCACATAACAGAAAACATTTCTGAACTGAAAAACAGACCTGTGTAAATAAATTATAAGGATTTACTACATTCCACAGGAAAAAGTCCATAAAGAGAAAAAGCCTACAGTTATATGCTTCCTGGCACATTTCTGAAATACAAGGATAAGGGGGAAAATGCACAAACATCTACCAAAAAAAAATGTTGGTTACCTACAAAGGAATGAAAAAACCCCGGCTGTTTCAGATTTCTCTGCTATAGCAAGAGATGCCAGGAGAGAATGCTATGGGAGGGTTACCAACAAACAACACTAAAATAAAGTGACATGAAGCAGGTAAAAAGAAAAGAATCATCAGAAGTATGCCCAGCAAATATAAAGAAAAAAATAAACAGAGGTCATAATATCATCAAAGTAGAAATCAGGGAAAGCCATATTCCTTTGGAATATTCATCCCTGGCAGCAAGAAGGGACGCAGAGCAAAAGCATACGCCCCCCTAGACAAAGCCAGGCAGCAGGGGCCATGGTTGGGAGGGGCCACTGTGGGGGTCATTTTACATGAATTAAACATATAATCCATCATGAGGCTATAGCTATAAAGAACATTTACGCTTTGAATAACATTTCCTCAAGATACAAAGCAAATGCTACCAGAAATACGAAGAGAAATGAACACTAATTAAATATACAGTGGAAGACAACACGACTCTCAGTTTCTACAAAATAAAAATAAATGAAGATACAGATTAAATACTATGCGCTGGAGATAGAGTCTCTGCCTACATATCATTCAAAAATGATATTATTAGGCCACAGAGAAAATCTCAATAAATTCTCAACATAGACATTAAATAGGTCACATTTTCCAAACACAATGCAATCAAACTAGATGTTATCAACAAACCCTTAAAACATTACAAATTCAGTCACTTGGAAATGAGAAAACACACTTCCAGATAGTTCTTAGAATAAAAATAAAATCAAAACAGCAACTGCAAACTATGTAGAAATTAGCCATAAAGGAAATATTGTGTCAAAATGCATGGAATAAGATGAAACTTACACTCAGGGAAAAAAATTCATAGTCTAAAATGTCTTTGTTATTCAATTAAATATGAAAATAAAGCATCCATTTTATTCTACTCTAGAAAACATAAAAATAACAAAATAAACCAAAGAAAAGTTATGGAAAAGAATTAGTGAATAGAAAAACAAGATCAATGAATCAGGAAACTAGAAAATTAGTATAACTAATATAGAAATCCAAGAATTGGCTTATGTGAGAAGATCTATAAATAAACCAACATCTGGATTGGCATAAAAGAAAACAGGAATAATAAAAAACTAATGATGTAATGTATAGTGATTAACATCACATAATAAAAAAATATATTGCCAGAAAAGAAAACGGGAATATGCAACACCAGGAATGAGAATGGGATGTCTTCTCATTCACAGCAGAAAGTTGAAATGATAGAAATAATACTGTAAATCACTAATAATTTTGAAAATCTCCATGAAATGTATTATTTATTTAAAACATATGATCAAAATTTACTCAAGCAGCAAAATACATTTTTTAAAAACCCTAGATGAAACTGAGAAAAATAATGTTATAAAAAATGTTCCAGATCCGGATGGCTTTACAAGTGAGTAATAAACCTCCAAGGAAGAAAGACTTCCTATCTTATTTAAATTCTATCAGGACAAAGAGAAGTATGGAGTTCACCTTGATTTATCTTATGAAATTATAGCCTTAAAACAAATACTAAATGAAGACTGCCCAAAAAGTGAATTTCTGACCAATCTCACGTATGAATATGCAAATCCTGAATAAAAGTCTAGCAAATCAAATCTAGAAGAGTATTTTCAAAAGGATGCATCAAGAGCAGGAATGACTGATTTCACAAATGAAAAAAGAGTTCAATGTTCAGAAATCTATTAATATAATTCATCACAGCAATAGTTCAAAGAAAGAGAAATCAATAAATGCCCAAAATGCATTTTATAAAATTCAACATCCATTTCTGAGAAGAACCCATATTGAACTAGAATAAAAAGATACTTCCTCAACATGATACGAACTCAAATTCTTGTGGTAAAGGATTTCTATTAAAGTCAGAAACAAGACAAGGACGATTACTCTCTATTATTAAACATTTTTTTTCTGAGGGTTCTAATGGATGCAGTGAGAAAACTGGAAAAAGAAACCAAAGGGTAAATGTTGGAATGAAGGATTCAAAATGACCATTATTTGCAGGTTATGTGATTTTTCTATATACAAAACCCAAGAGAATTAACTGAGAAGCTATTAGAATTTAAGAGTTCAATAAGAAGCTGCTTTCCCTGGATGACAGCTATAATCAGAAACAAAATTGAATGGAGGAAAAAAAATCATTTAAAATAACAAAGTTAGGGGCGCCTGGATGGCTCAGTCATTAAGCATCTGCCTTCGGCTCAGGTCATGATCCCAGGGTCCTGGGATGGAGCCCTGCATCAGGCTCCTTGCTCCACAGGAAGCCTGCTTCTCCCTCTCCCACTCCCCCTGCTTGTGTTCCCTCTCTCGCTGTGTCTCTCTGTGTCAAATAAATAAATAAAATCTTTTAAAAAATAAAAAATAAAATAAAATAACAAAGTTATATAAAATTTCCAGGATAAACTTAACAAGAAATTAGTAGGGACTATAAGAAAATAACTACTAACCTTCTCTAATGGACATTTTTTTAAAAAAGCAAATAAACAGAAGACATACATCATTTCTGAACAGACTTAAAATTCATTTGTGCAAATATTTTTAAAACACCTACACTGTGCCAGCTACTTTTCTTTTCTTTTCTTTCTCCACCCAGGTGCC